TATATATATATAGTAAAATTAATGTAAACTTGACTAGTAGTTAGATATTCCAAATAAAATGCAATTTTCACCAAAGAATGCTAATGATCACAATGCATTATTTCAGATGTTGTGGACACTGTGGTGAGAAACAGACTTAATTTTGATGCATTTTAAGCTGAATATTGTTAGCAGACAAATAAAACAAACTAGTGAGTAAAAGAAAACAGCTTTAAGAGATTTTTATTTCTAAAGGTCCACAAGGTCAAAAATTCAAAAAGTTAAAGAAAAGCTCAGTTATGGCGTCTACTAGCAGTTGACTAGCCAAATCTTGACCCCTTGGACCCACACAGATATGAGACTTCAGCATGCAACCATAAAAATCATAAAATCAGAGTGCAGAGGAAGGCCTGCAGGTAATCAAACAATCTACACTGGTGAGTTTATGGCGCAATGCCTGTATGTCAATAACCTCTCGAACTGCTGAAGCTTTCATATGTGCTGTAGCACATTTCACAGCCCCTGGTGCTGTCAGTCTTTTCCTTTTTCTGAAAGAAAAATGGCTTCCATAAACACTCAAACAAGACTAGAAACATCAGAAAGAGCTGTGCCAGGATCCCAAAGTACCTGCGACTCTGAAAAATGGGGATCATTTTCAACACAAACCAAACACTATCAGCTGAATCTGACACATAAACCCTCAAACAAACTGCTTCACGAAACATCCCAGCCTACATGATCAAATCACACAAATGAGAAAAAAAGATGAGGCAAACAGGAAGAAACGCATCTGAAAAAAAAAGAATAATTTCAGAAAATAAGAAGTAGAGCGGTTCTCTGTCCGAAATCTCTCATAGGAAGAAACCGAAAAAAAATGTATTACAAAAGGAACAAATGGAGGAAGGAAAACACAAAAGACACACTCAGGAACAAATGACCAAATTAATTGAAATATCTCCAATGGCGATATGCACAATTAAGCACGGTGGGGGGTGGAGGGTGTTTGTTCTCTGTTGGGGAAAATAGAGACAAATAAATGGAAGGATGGAGGGATGCAGAAATAGATGGGTGTCTCTCTTCTCTGTTTTCAGGGTGAATAATTAGACCGGATGGTGAGAGGACAGAAATAAACACAAATCATTCAGCAGCTTGTTCTGAGTGAAATGGAGAGAGGTTGGAAGGGCACGGATGTCTGTCAGGAAGAAATTGAGTGACCACAAGAAAGAGACAGTCTCTTTATGTAGTCTAATGAAGCTTGAATGTTTGTGCATGCCATATAAAATTCCCATGTTGTACAAAATAACAAATAAAAAACTGATCCAGAATAGATTTGATTGGTCGGAATAAGTTAAGTTATTTATTTTTGGCACCCAATTAAAGATGCTAAAATGTAGTTTTCTGATGTAGATTAAGAGTTTAGGGGTTATGCCAAGGACAACGAATATAATCAAAAATATAATGGCAGCTATATGGAATACATCATTATAATAGGAACTAAAATGTCAAATTCAGTACATTTTACCTTGTTTTTATTTAGTCACTAACAATGCTTTTGGTTTTATTTAACATGTTAACACTTAAGAACCCATCCAAACTTCACTTTTTTTTAAAGCATATTTTTATAAGATTTGTTCATGTTAGTTAATAAAAATGCAATTGTTCAAAATTAAAGTGAGCAAAAGTGGCAGTAAAGGATGTTACAAAAAAATGTTGCAAAAAGTTTGAATTAAAATAAACGCTGTTTTTGGAATTTTCTATTCAAAGAACCCTGGAAAAAAAAAAATTTCACAAATATATTAAAGTGCACAACTGTTTTCAGTGATAATAAATGTTACTCAATTGATTTCAAAAGGATCATGTAACACTGAAAAAGGAGCAATGGCTGCTGAAAATTAGCCATCACATGAATAAATTACATTTCAATTTTAAAATTAATTAGAAAATAGCTATTTTAATTTGTAAAAATTTCACAATATTACAGTTTTACCGTATTTCTGATCAAGTAAATGCAGCCTTGACTACTTACAACATTAAAAATCCAAACTTTTGAATGGTAGTGTGAATGCTAAAATGTAAAATGTTACTGATAAACTGAAAACTCTAAATCACAAGTCTTTATAAAAATGTCAACACACCGGCAAATGTGCTAGCGGGAAAGGCAATTGGCTATGTGCAGAGCGCTGATTAGAGGTCAAAGGTCACTCCACCGCCTTCCCTGATGTGCAGCAGTGATATCTGTACCTGCCCAGATACTTTCATACAAGTATGTCCACATATGTGTTCCACATAGAGAGGGCGAGGACACTCAAGAAGAAGAACAGATGCTGAGTAGCAAGACCTCACAGCCAGCAAATGTGACACTTAACCTTCCATCAGATTGAGCCCTTCAGATCCCCATCTTGCCTTAGGGAGGTCAGAAGCTTAGACAAAACGCCTGCACAAAGATCAGCTTTGCAGACCTCCCAGAAAACACCAGCCTCTGCTGGTCAGAGGGGAAGGACAAAAGCTATTCAGTCTCAAAACTCCACTAGCAGAGCATCTCGAGCAAACCCCTTCCACAAAAAGCATCTCACTGTCAAGCTTCAGGCAAGGAAATGTGAAAACACACTTTCATATAGTGCATGAAGCGTGTATGAATTATTAAAGTAACAGTCCTCACAAAAATGAAAATTCTGTCATCATTTATTCACCATCATGTCTTTCAATACCTGCATGACTTTTTCATCCATGGAACACAAAACGAGTTAATTATAGCGATTTTAGAAGTCTAAGTCGTTTTTTTCCCCCTCCTTTTCCCCCACAGTGAAAGTGAATGGTGATATTGGTCGGCAAGCAACATTTCAAGGCAAGATTTTCAGTGAATAGCATTTCAGTCTTTCAGTGGTGTTAGAAGCCCTGGTCACCAACCACTTTCATTGCATGCATGAAAGCAACTTGAACATTCAGCCAAACTTGTTTTATCACAGAAGAAGAAAAAAACAGCTAACGGAATGAGAAAATTATGACAGAGATGTAATTTGTTTTAGGTGAACTTTTCCTTGAAATATTAGAGAACTGAACAAAATAGAAAGTGTTAGACTGGTGATGCAACAGCGGTCAGCTGCCACACTGTGGTCGTTATGTGGTCACAGATGGTGGCGTAGTTGACAGGCCGAGGCAGACTAACACTTACCAGCGAGCAGGAAGGTGATGAGACATGTTTCTTTGGGCATGTAGAGCTTGAGTCTAGAGCCACTGAACACGTACTCCACCACAGCCTCAGAGCGGCCCGCTCTCTGCAGGAATGGCAAGAACTGTTTCGCCTTCTGTGTCTCCTGTGCAAAAATATAGAAAGAATATAAGAAAAAAAAGTCAGTGAAAACATCAGAGGTGTTTAAACGACATATGAAAACAAACATCAACACAGTTATTTGTTATAGATATTTAATTTTATATTTATTATGTATTTTTATTGTAATTTTTACTTGTTATATGCACATTATTTGTTTGTTATATGCATTTTTTTACTTGTTATATACACATTTATTTTATACATCTAAATGTTTATACTTGTTATATTTATGAGTATTTATACAATTAAAAACATATATTTACATACAGCTATTACACTTATTATATACTAGTTATACTTAGCTAGTTAGGTGTTGTTTGGTTTTGTACAAAAGAAATGCCACAGTCACATTAAACGTTGCAGCTGTCATGACAATTTTTTACAGAATTTGAATATGTATCGATGGCGTGATGCAAAATTTGCAATACAAAAAATAGTTACGCAATATTAATCATTCTTTTTTTTTTCATACAAATTTATTAAATAATTGCACTAAAATAGCACCCTTATTTTTTGTACCAAATTTTTGAAATGTGCCTTCAATGGCTACCTCAGCTGGTTTTCTTACATTAGTTTAGATACTTTGATTTGTAATTCAAATGTGGACTAGAAAAACGACAGGCCAAGCGGAAGATAACAGTTTATGACACTGTGAGCCATTATGGGTGTAGGGCAGCTCTATTTCAAGAGTGTCCTGACCAAGGGTGTACTTTTAGAAGCGAGATTGGCACTCTCTTTGTTTGACAGGTGAGGTTTGGTGTGTAACAGGGACACTTCAGATTTCACTTTAAATATGCTTCCTGTGACTCAGCACACTAGGGCCGCCCACTGCAGATGAAAATACAGCCATGACCCAAACTAAGAAAAAGAAACAAAAAGAGAAAGGAGGAGAGAAGAGAAAAGAAAACAAACTGCATTTGGGCCATACTGCAGCAATAAATCAGCTATCATAGGACAAAGCTTTAACATCAAAGATTTTAGAAAGGATTCTGGGATATAGAAGACATTGGTAAAGACATTCAGAACTAAGGCTGCACGATAAATCGCATGCGATATTTAATGCGCATCTTGTCAGAAAGCCGGTTCTGTAATCAGCGGTAAATCTCCATCACCTGCGGGCTTTCACATTGAGCAGCA